AAGCTATAGATTAAAAAGGCTAAAGAAAGTATAATATATATTTATCTATAGTATATACTTATTAATTATATTATATTTTAATATAAAAAAGGTAGCTTTTTTAACTGTATTAATAGGCTTAGCTTTATATAAAGAGTGGCTTAATAATATAATTATTAAGGCTAGATATATATATTATATCCTTTTAGTTATATAAAATTAAGGATAAAGGCAAGGTAATAGCAAGGTTTAAAGGTTTAAAGGAGTTAAGTTAACTTTACTTTATTTAAGTTAGTTAGTAAAAGCTAAATTAACCTAAAGTTAATAATAACTAGATTTATTAATTAAATATATATATTAGGATATATAATTAATTAACCTTATATCTAAAAATAGATAAAGTAATATTAGTAAAGAAGCAGTAGTTTAAACTAGAAATAATAAATATTATATTATAAATTTTAATTAACGTTAATACATATATTTATATATTTCTATTTATATTAAGTTATTAAATAAAATAGAAATAAATAGCTTTACTAAATACTTATATTAAAATATAATATAATAATATTATTTTTAATTTTAAATAACTCTAAATATATAAATATTAATTTTATTATACTTAATATACTAATTATAGACATTTAGTAGGCTATCTTATTAATAAAACATTTAAAGAGCAGTGTAAAAGCCTTATAGCAGGAGGCCACTAAACTAATATAGCTTCTCGATTAATGAGGATGTTGCAAGGCAAGTGGGAGGGGCCATAAAGTTCTCTGCCGTCTTGATGGGTCAAGTTAGCCTCGGCCGATAATGGGGCCTATAAAAATAACTTCACTTTTTGCACCAACAGGAAGAGTGATAAAGGAATCGTTCATATTTACCCACTTAGTTCCGTCTGCTGATTTTGTCAGCGTTACCGAGAGACCTCTTAATGGTAGATGGACGGGAAGCGGTAAAGGCTCCATTGCCATTGAGTATTACCATCTGAGAATGGCGCTACAGGTCAGATTGTCGAAGACGGTACGCACGCATTGTGGCCATAGTCCCGGCGAGCCAATGGCCGTTCAGACGTCCAGGTGGCTACGCTTCTCGCTGCTGGCAACGCCGTCTTTGACTTTTTTCTGGCAGGCCTTTTGGATTGGGGCAACAACAGAGCGTGGATCGTGTTCAATGCCTGAACTCAAGGAATCATGAACTTCCATTAGGCGAAAGTTAGGCGGAGTTTAGTATCTAGCTTCAACGCTAAAAGCTATACACTCGCAAGGTTACAAGAAGAGAACTTCATTAGTCTGATACTGGGCCCACTCTGGTCTGCAATGGTACTCGTGTGGTCATGTCGTCTGTTGAACCTGATATAAAGGTGGTAAATAGTTGTTCGGATTGTAACTTGCAAATATGTGCCGCAGGTGGGCTGACCGACAGGAACATCTCTTGTTTCCAATCTGCTTCAAGTGTAATAGCGGCACCGCTGAGAAATCGCGCTAGGCAGTATTGACTGACATCTTCAATGTACTTACTTCAGTACCTGAGTGTCTGATATACAGGCTGTTACTGGATGAGCCCAAGACGACAGTGGTTCGGAAGACAGAGAATGTATGGTTGCTGCAGGCCTTGTGTCGGATCCCACGGAGAAGCTCCATGTTTCCAACTAAGGCATCGCTGAGATGGAGAAGCATAATCGTTCGACCGCTGCTGGTGTAGATATTAAACTCGAGACTAGCTTTGTCATACTCAAAGCTGCTTATTAGCGCCTTCGCTGCAGGATTGTGCGTTCTCTTGGGGAGGTTGTCAGACTAATGTGTGGTTCTTCAAGCTGGATGCGCGCTCGCATGGCAAGTGGACTTTGCAGAACAGACCTAAGTTTGGCAGGACTATGGGCTCTTGATTCGCTGCTTCACAAACCTTTTTCTGTGGTCCGAGAAGGGAAGTTCTGCATACTGATGATAACATTTGTCAGTGGCAATCGACAACTAGAGAACACAATATCAGCACAACGGTACCCAACGTGGTTAGAGAGCTTACTAATACGGAGAGAATTGCGGTTCTTCTCCCGCTGCAGGGTCAGCTCCATCGAGTTGAAAGACATGACGGTTGTTGGTCGTCGACGCGTCATTGAGGATAGTCGACCCTGAGTAGGAAAAGGAGATGGGTTTGGTACGGGGATGACGACAGGCGGAGAGGAGCAGTCAAACCAGATTGCAAGTGTCTGTTTGTGGGGACATCAGTGCCTGTAATGCAGGCAAAGAGTAGTTCTAGCGACGTGAGGAAACAAGGGAGATTGAGCTTGAATAGTGACACTTTGTTGGACGAATGATTTGTTCATTACGCACAAATACCTGGCCACGTTCAGTCGTTTGACGAGGTGATGTTCATTTGCTGATGTTCACACTGCATCCTCACGCGGTCACCCATTGGTACTACTTTACACATGTTCATGTTATTGAGCTTGGCTGCTCCGGTTCAGCAGCACTGATGGAACTAGTATCACACTGGCTGTTCATAATACCGAGTCAACTCCTTTTGCAGTTGAGCAGTGCTAGGCACCTGCTCAAAGTTTATCACCGACTCCTCGCCTACCTAAACCCCCCTCCACTTCGACCTTCTTCTCGCTCGCAGCTCTCTCGCCTCTCTCTTCTTTTCTCTCTTCAGCAACAGAACGGAAGCAAGTCAGACAAGACTCTTCATTCTCTCATTCTTCTTCACGTACTACTCATTCATAGCCTTCAGTAGACCCGGGCGCCTTCATCCCCATACCGAAACACAAGCGGCAGTGCATTTTCTGCCTCACGGCAGGTAAGATATCATCGTGCGCTCACCAGTGCCATTATCTCAAAGCAAAGTTAGGTTTAAGTTACGTCATCGAACCATCTTTCGCCTTTCGTTGCGGCATCAAACGACTTCTGCTAACGACAATACCAAGTCCCAAGGCAAACGACCTTCTCCACCAACGCTACCCATCCAAACACCTTCACCAACAGAAAATCGCCGCAGCAATGGCCGACGAACGCGATGGCTCTGCTGCGCTAGAGGTGGAGGTCACTCCCCGGGCTGCTTCTTCAACCTCTTCCATCCCTGACAACATTCTCGAGCGCCATCAGCGACTTGAATCAGACATCGCTTGGCCCTACTTTGTGTCGCTCAAACTCGAACCGGATGTCTTGGAGAGCATCCGCCCGCAGCTCAATGACCTCTTCCGTCGTTACGACTACGACGCTGACGTTGGTATCATAACCCTCAGAATGCCATCCAAGATCCACGACGACTTTGCCACCGAGTTTGGACTCGTGCTCCAGAAGCTGATCGACGACATCCTGCGCGCGGTACCCAACGCGCCTAGAATCACGGACCGCCAGAGCCGACTGGTGAAGCTTTGGGAGCACGACAAGGCTAAAAAAGGTGGAGAGTGCTACCCGGACGGACAGTTCAAGGACGATCGCGCCAGCAAGCCAGGTCTCGTCTACGAAGTCGCCTATTCTCAAACCGGAGAGAGCCTTGAGAAGGTCGCCAAAGACTACATCGTCGGGACCAAGGGTGCTGTCACTACCGTGGTCTGCTTCAACCTCAAGTACAACGAGGGTCATTCGTCTGTCGCCATCTGGCGAGCGAGATAGGATCTTGCATCAGAGACGGTCGAGGCAGTCTGTGACCTGGAACCCACGGCAAGTCTCCCCTCACACTGGGGGCCAGGATCTGATTTATCTTTCACAGGCATTCCAGGACTCCGATGGCCGAATGGTCAATGGCGACAAACTCGTCAAGCTCCGACTCACTGACATGGCTAAGGAGAAGTATTCGGACGACTACCCGCTCGCGCCGATCCATATCCCGTTCACTGAACTCAGCCGAATTCTCGACTTTGCAAAGGCTCAGACCGAAGGAAGCTCGCCATAGACTTTTCTGCAGCAAACACAGACGAGTCTATACAACTCATGCCGTGGGGAAATCTGATCGGAGTGCCAAGGGATGAGAATGAAGGGGGGTGAGGGTATGGAAAAGCAGAAATGGATGTTGTTTGCTCCATAATCTAGTCATCGGCATATGGCGAAGGAATGTTCTGCGGAATTAGGTCGTATCTCTGGCTCTTGCAGTTGCCAACGCGCCTTGTGAGCAGAGACTAATGAAATTGCATGTATACATACATTGTCCATAGAAAAGCCCCCCTTATTAGCATTAGACGTCCCGGTGTATTCTTTTGCTCTTCCTTCCATGAATACCATTTCTGTCGTAACGAGCAATCAAATCCTGCAGTTACAGAGACCTTATCAAGCTTTGCACTCTGTTGGGTGCCTCAATAGCCAACCCAAGAGAAGAAACGCTCTCTACTTGTTTATATAATCAAGAAGCTGTCTTCTATGCTGTATGGGGTAAGTAAGTTTCTTCATTTGCAGTTTATAGCTAGCTGGAGTCTGTTTTATGCTTCATTTGACGGATACATTACAAATGTTATAAATCTTTCTAAAATAATCTGTTTGGCGTTGATAGAATAAGAAGTGATTTCCTCTGGCCAGCAAAAGCTGCAAGGTCTCCCATCAGACTGTGCTCTTTACCTGACTACTAAAGAAATTAAGCGGGTTGAGGCCTGGCACTGGTCATTTCATCCATGCCTATGAAAGGACCGTTCTACCAAGAGCCATCCCCTCCCTTCCAACAGCAGTGCTAAACAAACTCAATTGACACATCGTCAACGTAGAATCTGTTGGTTTGGCCGGCACTGATGCAATCCATTCTGATCCTGAGCTCTTCTGAGGGGTTGGAAGGTTGGTGAACCACGGAAACATATTCCTCAAAGACGCTGTTGGGCGTTCTCGGCGGCAGCAGAGCGACAGTCCCGAGGTCCTGGCCGCCAAAGGTCGCACTCAGCTGGCAGCCTGCCGTTGCCGAAGGTGTATCGAACTTGACCCAAAAGAAGCGGATACGGTAGGAGAGGCTGGTGCGCAGACCGTCAATCTGCTGGGCGATTGACTGTCCAGGACGGATTAACCTGTTTTGGTCAGATCTGTTAGCTGTCGCATTCAGAAGTTGTTAGTTCCTGGCGACGATGGATACGTACATAATATTCGGACCGGAACGCTTCCAGAATACGGCCCCGCTAGAGACTTGCCCGGTGATAACCCACGGGCTGCCGTTGTTATTATCATCGAAGCCAGGGTTTGCAATGGTCGGGAGAACAGCTGCCTCTGTTGTCGTGGTGGTTGAGACTGTTTCGGTTGTTTGATCGGCTGTGGTGATTTCGGTCGTGGAAAGCAACTCGGTAGACGTGAAGATCGAGGAAATAATTGAAGAAGCGGATGATGTCTCAATGGACGAAGAAGTAGCTGTCGTCGATAAGAGGGAGGTCTGGGTCTCGGAACTGGTCTCAAGCGAAGCAGCAGAGGTTGAAAGAGATGATTCAGTCGTCCCAGAAACATCGACCGTGGTGGGCACCAAGCTTTCTGTAGATGCAGAGCTCTTGGTCTCGGTTGAAATGCTGCTTATAGAGCCGGGTTTGCATCGACCTGCGACAACGACATCTGCAGTCAGGAGAGCAATGAGGCCAACGGTGATACCCTTGATAGACTTCATTGTGACAAGATGAGATATCCAAAATGCTGATCAAGTGAATGTCTACAGACGAGAGAGAGAGTACGTAGATAGAAAGCAGGATTCTCTCCCCTTTTGTTTACCATTTTGCCAAGATATTCTCTACTGGGATCACAACCAACAGGCCTTTGCATCCAATATAACCCACTCAAAGCTGACAACAATTGATGTACCAGTTGGCCCATACCCTGGTTCGAGCCAACGGAAACGCAGGTCCAGCTTATTGCCGTCCACACGCCACTGTCGCGCTAGTGCCAATAGTTCCAGTGTCAATCAGCGCGCCATGACCTGTTCAGATTCAGCTCATCAGACTTCCCCATAAGCCTGCATAAGTAAGTTGGTTGACGGATGGTCGGATGGCTTGGCAACTAACTTGCTGAACTGTTTGTCATAAACTGTATGCCTGTCATCCCGTAATAATATTTCCAGTATATTGGCGTGCCAGAATATAGTATTATAGACTACCAGACAACCGTATAATTCTAGTATCCAAAGATAACTCATAATGACAGTTGCCTGTCCTGCCATCATTACAATCATATCATGTGATTTCCTTCTTAGCAATGGTCGATAAGCACTGAAGCTCCAGGACAAGTCATCACAGAGCCAGCAAATACTAAGGCTTCCAACTCTACTAAACTTCCGTTCCTACTAAGTACCTCGAGACAGTATTAGCAATTAGATACCACAGCGTCATATAGCGCGAGGCTGAATTATCATCTAACTGCATTTAGATTTTCACCAGTAATGCCATAATTGAAGTCCTCACCTCATCGAATTAGAAAGGATCAAAACTCCCAGATAAATCTCCTGAAAGACTCAGCCCAAGTACTGTACATATCGGCATACTCAGTAACTCCTCAGTCGACTCCGAAAGAGGGTCTCTTGCAAAAAGGAGGTTAAAACCGCCAATACAAGTCAACTGGCCTGGCAGCGTGAGATACAACGGGCATAAGGCAAGCCAAGCCTCATGGCTTGTCCTAGGAAAACATGCACCTCCGCTTGCCTTTGAGGCCTCCAGCTACCCCCACTCGATCGGAATTCAATAATATTAACCCCTAGGGGTAGGATTTATGAAGTATGCAAGAGTATTGATCATGCTGGGGATTCAAGGCCTTGCACCGTCGGATGAATTAAACGTGGGGGGAGAAGGGCCCATCTCATGTCTGCTGGAGAGAAATAGGAATTATAAGATCAAGACAGGAGAGTATTAGACTATCATCTGCGCCTTATATCTAGCCAACGTACCGATCACGTTGTGAGTCGAGGGTGATTTGACAAGCAGGTCCTCTCAAATCGGCGTCGAGGATGGCAGTTCACTAGATGTCAAAGAGGTCAACTGAACGTTAGATCCAGGGAATGATGGCAAGATCAGGCTTGATTACCAGGCGTCTAGGTTCAACCTCCAGTGCATCTAGTATTTCGATTAACAACGAGTCTTACTACATAGGTGCTTGGCTTGTAAGAAATGCTGCAGTTGGATGCCGCAGGCGAGTAGTACATCTACACAATATAACGCCAGTTGCACTCAACTACTCTCCTCTGCGTACACATATCGATAGCTTCGAATGTGAAGGCGCTTGTAGGGATTCCGAATATTGAATATTCTACGGTCTCGTGATATAAGTCAGTTGGCTATCCGACAGTCGGGAATCCGGTCATTGGAGATCAGAAGCGCTGAAAATATCGTCTGGTGATATTTCCAGGGGATTTTCCAATTTAATCTTCGGTTAGGGAGGAGATAGAAAAGACTTATGCCAAATAAGCCATATCACTTCCCCATTATTGCATAGGTAGCTGCACCCAACGTTGAGAGATACTCAGCTTGTCTTTCTGACCTAGATCGTTACCCTGCACATGGCATTCATGTCAAGCTGAATGCTGTGTTTTCAAGGCCACGGAAATTCTATATCTGCAAGATAGTAAATCACTGTTGCATGTCTAAGAATGAACTTGATTGAAGAAGTTCGCTGCCATGGCACCTACAGACTTGGCAAATCGACACTTAGTCGCTTCCTCAATGTGAAAAATGTTTGTCATCTTTGAAAGCATACCTAAACCAAACGGAATGCAGATAAGCACTTTTTTAAGTCACTTATCAGCACATTCTTAGGCAGAGGTATTTTCTGGAAACTCTTTCTAGCGAACTGCGAGATGTAGTATCCCGCTTAGTGAGGTGCTGGGAATGTGGAATGTATACCGAAGCATTGGTGTGGCCGTAGTTAGTTATATCTGGTCATTTGTTCGGCTGACATATGTTGAAGTTTGTGGTTCAGATGTTCTTTTTATCTCGGGCTACCAATGTGGCTAGGTGCTGGGAGGAATGAAGCTTGTGTGGCAGGATGATGAGTTTAGTAGTAACTCATCAGACAGAGTTGTCTGACCTACAGGTCATAAGCACACCTGGCATCTGGTGTCTAAGCATTCAGAGTAAGGAAGAGAAGCTTAGAAAGAGCAAATTACTTCTCTTACTTCAGGGTTTGCTTAACAGGTAGTTTACAGCCAGATATACATCCATGAGGATAAAAGACCCAGTCTTTTTTGCAAGCATTACGACAGAAGAAGAATAATGAGATAAGCCGAATATTAAATTTCTCTCAGGCTGACACCAGGGCGCAATGCTATGCAGTCGCAGGGAGTCAGGCGCACTGGAACCGGATCCCCGAGACCCGGAATCGAAAATGCATACTCTCCAAGCTACAGATTGGTCGGTTGCTCCCCTTACATACGCCCCTTCTAACGGGATATAGCTCAAAACTATTGGTATCCTTCCTGTACAGAAATATAATTTGAGTATATAGATCGGTTGTCGAGTACTGGTACCATTACAGCTGCAGAGCAAATATCATTACACCGAGTTTATTGACTTTAGGTTCAAACCGTAGCTGTGAGCCCATGATTGCTCACCATAGCCAGTGGCATAGGCCCAGAACAAGAGGTAGTAGGGACATACACAAACAGAGGGTATCTATTACTTCACATTAACACTTTTACGTGCAAGCTGACGTTGATAAAGTCTGACTTCACTCTCATGCAAGACTTCCAGGGTATTTGGTAGCCTGAAGGGATTGGCTATCTTTTGTATGCTGATCATCTTGACAAATATGCTGATTGAAAGGTGCAAAAGCGATACAGAGATAGGCAGTTTCCATCCCCATGATCCGCTCCTAGTCGCACTGAGCAGTCTTCTTGGTTGCTTGTGACTAGCTCACATTGACGACGGTCGTTGGTTGAAAGTTGTGTAAAGTTTAGGGAGTAGCTATTGGTGCAACTATGTAACCACACTCCGGTGTAGGACGACACTTTACCAGTATTGTCACGACCATGTCATCTAGCCTATGGCATTATATGAGAAAAATTACAATGATTTCGTTAATAGAGCACGACTTGAAGGCGTTAGTGTTACCATGGAGAGTCAATAAGGAGGAAACATGAATTCCAAGCTCATAATGATCTTCTGTCTGTAACTCAATGAAGCAACTGATTTTCAATTACATACTCCATAATGCCAGTCATATTATACTACTTTACAGCTCAGTGAGTACTATGGCAAAAAGAAGGCCGAGGCTTCAGGTAGGAGAGCTATCTTGTTCATCTAATTCGCTCGTTACTTAGTGATGTAAATACCCAGGAGGGTCCCGGTCTTTGTGATGTATGATCAAAATATTACTAACTACAATGAATACTCAGCGGACTAGGTTCAAGCGGCTTACATGTAATTCAGGTCTAAAAGCCTATACGCCTGTCAAAGTTAATACATCTTGCAGATCAAACCGCACAGGAGCCCTAGAATGATCAAGAATTTTTTTCCCTTGCCTCTTACTTCATAATCCTTCTCTCACTATGGCTGTTCCTTTTGTAGCGTGCTGTAGTCTTACTCACTTGGGTGCTTTACTCAATTCATAGCAAATTTGCAACTTGCGACACGGCAACCGATTAAATATAGTCTTGGAATATGCAATCTTGTATTCGACGGTTCCTTATCGCTAACAATTACTTACTGACATAGTTCTTCTTTCTTTCTGAATTTTATTGCATCTTTCCAGGGCTGGCTATAAGAAACAGCCAGATTTCTTCTCAACAAACACTTCGTCCCCGACTGATCTCTGCCTATCTTAGATTCGATGACCGGTGTTCAGTATGTCTGTTACCTCCATTATGGCGATCTATAAAGCTGTATGTAACATAACACCAATAACCTTCAACAAATACTGTATAGAACATCTCAAAAACCTTGATGATGCTCCTGTGTTGATATTAATATATTACATATTAAACTATGTCTTAGGCTTTTTAGATACATTTTTAGATATCTCAGGCATAAGAGCTACTGCCTGACGTCTTTTATTTCCCCTGTTTCCTTTTATGCTCCAGGTTGCACTAATGTCTTCTTCAGTCTTTAGCCAGTATAAATCTCGCATTTTGCTCCCCTGAGGCAGGTATTTGTCTTGCAATTGGCTTCCGAAACAACCAGGAAAAGCCACGCAAATAGCTTTCCAGATATGCTCCTTTACTAATGTCTCTTCCGAAACCTTTGACAACAACTTATCTGCCACATAAGCCAAGAGTTGTACATCAGAGATGCCCTCATTGTTGGTTTCCAATCTCTGCAGGAACTCTTCCAGTATGGTCTCCTCGATTGTCGCTCGAAGCCGACCACGTGATATTGTCCCGAAGGATGGCATTTCGGATTCGGCTCCAGCGTCGAGAAAGTCATCAAGAAGCCGAAGATAGCGGTCTGCATCGGGCCTCCCTTGCATCTGGAATGAGGCAAGAACTATGTCTCTCCAGACTGACGAGTATGCTGACTTCTTTTGCCCAGTAAGTCCATGCTCAAGTCTCCAAACCAAAGCATTGGGATTGGCCTTGTGCTTCAAGAACAGTGGCAAGAGATCACTCTGTAAGGTTGGGATGAATTTCGGCCCTATTTCTCCGATCAAACTAGGAACAATCCAGAAGAAAAGCATAGCCCAGGCTGACATCATGGTAGCTTGATGACTGTCGTGCTTGACATTAAGCTCGAATTGATCGTTAGGACTCTCTCCGCTTTCCAACAAGAGCTTCAGCATCCTGATGCATTTTTCAGGCCAAGGTAAATTCTCTCTGTCAGGCCAGAGCTCTGAGTGGATAACCATAGCTAACGGCGTCATCTCAAATTCGTTGAAATAGTCAACCTCTCGAACTTTGTGCGATAGATATTTTGAGAGCATTTTCTTAACAATATGCTCTCTAAAGAATAGCTTTGCACCATCCGAGTTGAAGCCCTCGGATATGGGGAATACCCTGTCTTCTGTTTTGCGATCTATAGCACACATGGTGGCTTCAATTGTGTCGAGAAGAACGATCTCGGCTTGAGTGTAGTTGTCGGTCTCATCTTCCAACTCACCAGCGTATGTAATAGCCTCTCTTATCCGCGATGCCAAGGGAGTGTCACTATAGCTGCCGGGACCAGTGCGTAGTATCTTGTTGTTGGATGGTGTAGTCTTGATCCATGCCGTGTAGGCTCTGAGAATCGACAGGTTGGCGTTGAACCCATCCGTGTTTTTGGCTCGCAGAAAATCAGACATCTCTTTCGTTCTGAGAAAGTCCATAACCGTGCGATGAAGAAAGTCCACTCGGCCCTGCTTGACCTCCAACAGTCCCCTGCACCAGCCATTCAAGCGTCGTTTGGTCTTTCTATACCAAACTTTCTCTTCCTGCTCGTCTTGGGTTTCCACAGGCCTTTCCAATGCATAGTCCACCGACTCATACTCAAGACTATGGAAGCGATAGATTGATATGTCTAATGGAGACCTGGCCTTGATCGCGATGGCTAGGACGCCGCTCATCTTTTCATGATGGATTGGCTGTACCGTCTCCAGCATGTGCTTGAAGAATGGCTCCAAGTCTGATGGGAAGCTCTCAAGGCGCCTGCATAGGTCGGAGAAGCTGTCATCCTCCTCCAAGCCTTCTCGCAAGAGTTTGGTTACGAAAAATACCCAAAGGAATACACCCCGTGACCTCTCCGTGACCTGGTCTATAAGCAAGTGAGCACCCATAACCTCTGACTCTAGAGTTTTCCAGCCCGGATGATCTAATAGCCGTAGTTCTGTGTAGCTTCGAATATCGTTATGAGTTAGCTGGTGGATATAAAGCTTTCTGCCAGGGTCGCCCCCGAAGTTCTGTTCAAACACGTTCCAGGGTCGACTCGAAATACACAGCTTGATGTTGGGGGACTGGGAGAGGTCCACTAGATCCTGGCAGAGGTCTTGACGGTCCCCTGTGAACTCATCAAGACCGTCGACGAAGAAGCAGAATTTCTGAGATATGTCTGCTTGATCAGCCACCTCTTTCAAAACAATTCGTAGTTCGGATAAGTTCCAAGGCTTCGACAGATGCTCAGGATCCACATCCTGCCATCGTTGGTGGCAGGCTACCTGTAACAAATCCGGACATTGACGAAATATTTCGTAGAGTAGCGTTTGTAAAAGGCCCTCTTGTGATCTCTGCATTTTGGTGCCTGCACTCCAAAAGTAGTGACTGGCAACGTATGTGGGCTTCGGAGAAGACCAAGCAGATAGGATGCGAGCAGTCCGAGAATGATCGGCGATAAACTTCATCAGTGTAGACTTGCCAGAGCCTGGCTTACCAGAGACCCAGAATATGCCATTGCCATTGTTCAGCCAATCGAGAAAGGCACCACCACAGACGCTATCCTCTTTAAATATCCATTCAAAGGTTCTGATATGAGCATCTGTGATGACAGCATGTCTGGCACTCCGGTGCGCAAATGTTAAACTCTGGAGTATAGACTGCTGCTTAGTGATATCATTCTCAGCGATAGACATGGACGACAATTCTCTCTCGATGTCGGTAATAGTGACAGGAGAGAATGATTGCCCAGGCTGTGGCGATATGAGGACTCTTTGACGTATTTCTCCCAGGGCTTGCTGAATTTTGTCTAATCTGCATGTCTGGTCGATTTTTAATCGCTCGCTCCCTAATTGAAGCTCTCTCAATGTACGAATGTGGACATCGTGATAATAACTACCAGAAAAGGTAAGCGGATTCTTCTAGTAGGTAGCTTAACACACCTTGAAATTGTACAAATTTGAAGTGTCAGACTTGTCTGTGTCTTGTGCAGCCGATCTTCCAGCTTGGTGATGTCTCCGTCTTTCCAGTGGGTTTTCAATGCGGCTCGAAAACTTTTCCACTTGTGTCCGGGCCCATCTTGAACCTTGAGTTTTGCGATAGTGGCGAGTAATTGTTTGCAGTCTGCATGGCAAGCTCTAGATAGTTCGGCTATCGCTTCAACTTGTTTAGTGCACTGTCCACCGAGATCATGCACTGGTGCGGTCAGAGTACACTCCAGATCATGCAATTTCCTATAAATTGCTTCAACGGTCGAGATATCGCTGCTCAAACCACTTGTGGAACGGTATATTTCAGCACCCTTTGAGATCAATGCCGATGTGAACGTCACAAATTGAGCGACTGACGCCGCAAGCCCGAATGCCGATGCGGGGTCCATTCTAATCAATAGAATAGTCAAATAAGGATGAACATATCATCAATGGCCAGCTGAATATATTATGAGAGTAAGTCACTGATATCTTGAGCCGGTTATGCCTAGATTCGGTGGAAGGAAGCCCAATCAATTGAGTGATATTTAATAAGATAACTCTGGCCGCCGCCAGCATCGACAACAGGATTTGCCAAAGAGCTGGGATAACCCTTCGGTCAGCTGTGAACGGATCGACAGTGGGGTAGGCCGATCTAGGATCCAATTATCCAATAGTGCGACCGACATTGGCTTTTGAGGCCTTTGAGGCCCCCGTTGCTAACCTCTAACTAGCCCCTATAACCGAGGCATGTCTCCTAACCCCTGCATATCTAAGGCTTAGTCAGGGACATGGCTGATAAGGGCACTTATACCTGCATAACCGGTTATACAATTAGTATTATATATTTTTTATATAACTGGTTATATAGATAAGGCCATATAAGCTATTTTAGTTAAATTTATATAACTAAAAGACTATTAATTAATTTATCTTTCTATTATATTTATATTACTAATAAAGTAATTATTAACTTCTTACTTTATAATTTAACTTTTTTTATATAATATTTACTTACTTAAATAATATTAAGTCTTTAGTCTTTACTATTATTACTTAATTAATAATATAATAGCTTAATAATATTCTTTCCCTAAAGGTAATATATTTATTATAAAAAGCCCTCTTTATAGATATTAATAAATAAGTAAAGGCTTAAGGATATACCTTTATAATAAGGTATATAAATTATATAATAAATAGAAAATAACTTATATACTTTAGCTATAACTGCAATAAAGAGATATATATATTAATTCTTAATTCTAAAAGGAAAAAGAAGTATATTACTTAATATATAATATATAAGCTCTTTATAATAAGAAAAGAGAGCCTTTATAGAAGTAAATAAAGTCTTTAATATTACCTTAATCCTTATTATTATAAATATAATTATAAGCCTATTATTAAAAATAGTATTATATATATAATTTACTAAAAGCTTAATAATAAAAATGCCTTTATTATTAAAAAGCTTATTTTTATTAGCATTAAGTAATATTAAATTAAGACTTATTTACTATAAAATATAAATATATTATTTATTAACTTTAATTTTATAAACTATATTTCTTAAGTAAAGTAAGACCTTATTAATAAATAAAGCTATATAATTACTTTACTTTAATATTTTAAATTATAACGCTTTTAGAGTTATTATATTATTAAAGAAAACTTTTAATTAAAGTTAGTTATATTTACTTATTTAAAGTTAATTAAATTTATAAGATTATACCTTAAAGTATTTATAGTTAACTATATTTATAAAATTAATAAATATAAAATACCTCTCTTTAATACAATTAATATTAATACTATAAAAAATACTTTTTATATTATCTTTATATATCTTAATAATAAAAAAGAAAAAGACTTTATTTAAGCTTTTAGGGCATTATAAGAATTATATAATATTAATAATATTCCTTACTTTATAGTTATATTAATAAATTAATACCTTATTTATATAAATACTATTATATTTTTTTTTTACTTTTTATTAATAAAGGTTATATTTTACCTTTAGTATATTAATAAGGCAGTTCTAGCCTTTTATATAAGTAGCTTTATAAAAGATAAAGATAATAAAAAGAAATAAAAGGTATAAAATAAGTTCTATAGTAATTAATATAAACTTATAGCCTTAAAGTTTTATACTATCTATAATAAAAAACTAAAGGCCTTTTTACTTTAGTATACTTATTTATATTTAAAGGAAGTAAATTACCTCCTTTTAATCTAATTAAACCCTTATAAAAGGAAGTTTATAAAGGTATTTATAAATAAATATTTATATTTAAACTAATTTATTATATTTTAAGTAAAAGGTATTTATTTTTTATTTAAGTTTTATATAAAAAGCTTTAAGGTTAACCTATTTAAGGCTTTTTAAATTATTAAGCTAATACTTATAAACTAGCTAGCTAACCTTAAGTCTATATAGGCTTTAAAGTAGGCAATAAGACCTACTTAATATTAATATATATTAATAAAAGCTATATATAATTAAGTCTATAGTTAAATATTATATAAGATATTAATTAAGGTTAATATATAGTAAAAATAGATAGAAAAGGATTTCCTTTAATATATTAAAAATTTTATAAAGACTATAGATATACCTTATGCCTATATCTTTATACTATTAATATAGAAAAACCTGCCTTTATTAATAAGCTATTTTTATTTATATTAATATCTCTAATAAGCTAAAATATTACTATTTATATTTAAGCCTTATAAGGTTAATAAATACTATATTGCTTTTAAGTTAAAGCTAGCATTAAGTATATAGTAAGATTTATATATATTTAAGCTAATTAAAAAGGTATTATTTTTTTTAATACTTAAAAAGCTACTAACCTACTCTTAATATTATAAATAAGGTTATAATAAAAGGTTAATAAAATGCCCTAAAAGGTATATTAAACTAACAGTAAAGCTTAATATAATAGAAAAAAAGTAAAATATAGCTATAAAGGATATTATATATATATTAAGTAAATCTATATCTCTTATTATAGTAATAAGTATAATACTATAAGTAAAGCTGCCTTAAGCCTTTTATTACCTTTAAGAACCTATATATACTATATATATAAAGTATTAGGAATTTTATAAGGTATAATTTAATTAATAGCCTTTTAATACCTTTTTTATTAATTATTTCTATAAAGAAGCTATTAAACTGCCTTTAAGGTATTTTATAGTTAAGTATTAATAATATTAAAAGAAAGGGTAAATAAGACCTTTTATTAAGTATTATAATAGCTTTAAATTAAAGGATTAAATATTAAAAGAGATATATAGCTAGATTAAGGCTAATATAAAAAGTTATAATAATATTAATAAATAGAAATAAGGGCTTTTTAATATAAAAGGCCCTAACTATATATAATAGTAAAGACCTTTAAATAGTATATTTTTTTTTTCTTTACTATTAGCCTTATAAGGCTATTAAGCTTCTAACTTTATATATAAAGGCTTAAATAATAAGGCCCCTATAATAGGCCTATATCTTAAAGGTTAAAATTATATAAGGTTTATCTGCCTTAATGGCATAATTGCTGCCTTAATTAAGTAGTATTAATATTACTTACCTTTTAGTAGCTATATTAGCCTTTTTCCTTTACCTTAGCCAAAAGACTAAAACAATACCGGGCTAAGTCTATTATAAAGTATATTCCCTAACCTAACTTTCCCTATTAATTACAGTTACTAATATTAATTATAGCTACTATTATAATGCCTATATATAATAGCCTGCAGGCCAATTAGGCCTATTATATAACTAACTATAACCTTATTAATATAATTAAATTAATGCTAGTAAAAGCTATAGGCCATAAATACTATAAGCTTTATATAATAGCTATAGCTATTAAGAAGAACTTCTTATTAAAGAACCAATTTAGCCTAATTAAAATAGCTATTTTTAATTATATTCTAATTAATATAATTAGTTATATAGATCTAGATATCTTATTTTATATAATATCTCTAAATTAGCTAGCTAAAAAGCTATTATAATTAAGGGACCTAAAAGAAGCTATAAGGTAAGGCAAGACCTTAATAACTAATTAGGCTACCTTTTTAGCTGCCTTTTTAGGCCTAAATTTAGCTGGCTATAAAGAGTGGCTATAAAATATAATTATTAAAGCTAAATATATGCTTGGCTTCCTCCTGCTTATATAAGGGTTAACAGGCCAGTTATAGTCTAAGACTATAAAAGTAAAGGGATAAATACAGGGTAATGGCAGGGTTTAAAGGTTTTATTAAAGTTAGAATTAAAGGAATTAGATTAACTCTATTTATATAAGTTAGTTAGCAAAAGTTAAATTGACCTCTACTAATTAAATGTATATACCTAGGCATATAACTAATTGACCTTACATCTAAGAGTAAATAAAGTAATATTAATAAAGAAATAGTAGGTTAAATTGGGGTTAAATAGTATATAGATATAAATAAATTAAGGCAGTAATATAATTCTTTTAATAAAATTACTAAATAATTAATAAAATTAATATTAAATAAAATAAAAAAAGATAATAATTAATTAAAAGCTATAAATAAATAAAGTAAATTTTAATAAATTTAATAATATATTTATTATTAATTAATTATATCTTTATATAAAAAAAGCTAAGTTTTTTATTTTATATTAATTATTATAATAAAAAGTTAATATAATTAAAAAGTATAAAATTATTAATATTTATTAATTAATTACTTTAATTAAAATATTTATATTTATAATTAGTTATTAATATTTAACTTTAATAATATATATATTATTAAATTAAAAAAAAAAGTATATTAATTAATATATATATTAATACCTTAATTTATTAAATACTAAAGTTATAAATAAATTATAAAATAATATAAAGCTAAATATAAAGAATTATATCTTATATTTATAGGTTAATAAATAAAGTAAAGAAATTATATATTTCTCTTTAAGTATATTATAGCCTTAATATAGTAAATAATATTAATTTAATAAAAGATTTAAATTAATATATATTTAGTTATACATATATAAAAAAGGAACCCTAAATATCCTTAATTCTCTTTATTATCTACCCTATTAAGTCTATATAATCTACCCTTAATAATTAATTAAATTAATATATATACTATTTTATTAAGCTACCTATAGAGTTAGTATATATATAGTTATTTTAATAGTAAATATAGGCTATATTATCTTAAAGATTAAAGGCCTTACTTAATATATTATATTTTACTATTATAGTATTTAAGCTATTTAAAAAGATATAATATTAAAGATTAAATAAATTAACTATTAATTAATAGTATTATAAAGCTAGTTAATATATTAAGTTTCCTTAATATTATATCTTTAGGGATATTAAACTATAATTATTAAAGCCTTTATAAAGATAAATTAAATATTATAAATAAAATATAATTATTAATATATAAAAAAAGCCTAATTAATATTAACTTTTAAGAAAATATTTTAGGCTATTTAAGTATAAAAGTTAAATATATTATATATTAATTATTATATATTAAGATTCTTTTAGCTATAAAGAATAAAAAAAGGAATTAAAGAAAAAAAGCCTATTGCCTTATATACTTTTTAGTTACTTTTTAAGTGGCTAAAAAGGTTATTTATAGTAATTATAGGCTATAAGATAAATTAATTATTTTAGTTTAAAGGAATTAAAATAGATTAAGTTATAGTACTATCTTTAAAGATCTAAAAGCTAGTATTATTATTTATATTATTAAAAGCTATTATTAAAGAGATAGAGATATTATAAGCTTAAAGGTTTATTAAATTACTTAATATCTTAAAGTAAAATATTATTATAAAAAAAGAAAAAAAAGAATTTACTTTTTAATTTATATAACTATTTACTAATTAATTTATAGTTATATTAAATACTTACTATATAGATTAAAAGTAATAAAAAACTTACTTTTATAAAATAATTAAAGAAATAATAATAAATATTATATATATAATATTTTACTTTATTAATTTTAATTAAAATAAAGAGGTTATATACTATTAAGTTAATTATATTATAATTATAGTAAAAAGGGCTTTTAAATTATATTATTAATAATCTCTTTAATATAATAAAGCTCTTTTTTTATCTTTAATATTATAAATAAATAACTGTTTTTATATAATTTTATAAATTAAAAGGTTATATTACTTTTATATTATTTATAGTAAATTAAGGCTAAATAATAAATTAATAATATAAAATATAAAGTAATAAACTATTATAAAGATAAAAAATACTATTAAATAGCTATTTTAATTAAAAATAGTATTATTATTAAATAATAGTTATATATTTAATTTACAGTTAGCTATTTAGCCTTATCTATATAACCGGTTATGCAAAAAATACGTAATACTAATCGCATAACCAGTTATGCAGGTATAAGTGCCCGGCTAATAACTTCTAGGGCTTGGACAGCATAAGTTCAACAGGTATTAGGCAACAGTAAGTTCCATGGACTCTTGGTCTACACACGCGCAAAGGACTCACCAAAGCTCTCTGGACCCACAAGAAAAGTCACTGTATTCAAGATGGCGTTCTGGCGAGGTTGCTCTGATATCATGTGAGTGCAATGTCGATGGTCATAGTGACCCCTGTAGGTTGCAGCTTGAGATTCTATCCCTCGAAGACAGCCAATACTAGAAGTATCATATGTTGAAAATACGGACCGTCCCAAAATATAAGTGAACTCGTATCATGACACATTTTCATTCTCTTTATATCTGTCATTGGATCTCGAAAGTGTCGGTACTTGGCAGCAAAACGCATCGAGACGCCTGGTGACTAATGAACCCATGAGACATACAATATCATCCTCATCTTACCTCCAATCATTTAGTATCAGCTCTAGACAAGGTCCAATACCGACTTCATGGCGTAATTGCGTATCGTACTTACAGCTCGTTGACCAAAGTTCTGTATGGTCGCTGTCATTGCGTTGTGAGTGTCTCGATGTTTATTTTCATCAGCATCACTATATTCATCATCAACAATGCTATGCCAAGTAATGTGAACTATCACACACACGTGCATTAATATTGAGGGCTCTCATCAATATAGAAGTGTTTGTCATGTGTTCACTCGTAGTCCCGGTTATAATAAAAGCTCGATAAATGTCAAGCAAGGAGACATTATTGAGAAGATTATCACAAGGCCAACAGGAGAACGATCTTTCAACACCACAATTCACTGTGCCGCTTACCAGAACAACCAACAGCTCTCTCATCATCACCGGCAGACTTGTGTAGAATGGCAGAATCAGGTAAGTTAGGACCTAAGCGGTGGAAAGAGTTATATAATCTAGTCTAAGCTAAGGGGACTCGTTTCTACGTTATTTGATATCCTCATCTAAAGTCTCTACTCACCCCTCCTCGACTCCTGCACCAACGACAAAGAAGCAGCCAGACTAGCATTCGCCAACTCCTTGAAGATCAGTCGGGCCTCACGCAGCTCCGCTCTCGCAGTATCAAGCTGTGCTTGTAGAGTTGCAATCTCATCAGCATCGCCTTGTGGATCACAGCCAGCCAAGGTCTCCACTGCACGATATGCGGCAAGTAGGTTGCTTGCACGGCCAGCTTCCTCTTCAGACTTCCAGAAAGAGCCAGGGGTGCCGAATTGCGGCGTCTTGTTCAATGCTTCTTCCATGGCTGCGAGAGCTCTCGGGACCGTATTGAAGATGGCGTTCCTCTGGATGAGGGGGTCAAGACGAGCCGACAGGGTGTCAATGTCAATCTCAAGCCGGGCGATGCGTTCTCGGACTTGAGGAATCGACTGGAGGGTTCGTGGTGGAGTATGTTCACTGGCACCGAGAACATCGCTTGGTCCGGAACCTGTTTCTAGAACCTGAACCCCGAGATCCATGAACTTTTGCGCAGTAGAAGCAGCTGGCTGACGTTGTCCTTTCCGGAAAGTCACATTCCCAGTAGAAGTACTTGGCTCATGTTGTGGATCGACAACCATGTTTAGGAGCTTTTGTCTCGTAGGTGCTGGGTCCAGCGATGTCGGAAAGCGAAGCTTGTTGAGTAGAAAGCCGAGGAAGCAGACGACAAACACACCGCAATTGACAGAATCCTCTTGTTGAGGACAAGACTACCGAAAAGATTGGTCAGCGTGCAGGGACGGGATCAACGAGTACCAACTTACCATGCGAGAAAGCTGGACAGAATGAACGTCAAGCATGCTCTCAAAACAGCCCTGGATCCGACTTTCGCGTTGTCGGCTATGGAGACTGTCATAGTGCTCGATGCAAGCTTGCTCCGGGCGCAATACGGCAAGGCTCCAATGTCCATCTTGGTTTTGATGGTGAAGGGGGATGTAGATGACCTTATTCGACTCGCAGACTCTGGTGAAACCGGCGGGAGGTTGGTGGGACTTTTCGTTGTCAACTTGGATGTACAAAGGGTCAAGGACCTTTGCACCTGGGGTTCTGCAGGTACGAGTGATGTGCTGCAGCAGTAGGTTCAGCACGTCGTCTGTCAGCTGTGCAGTGGGGTCTTGGAGTTGCTGCTGGGCACGTTGTGAAGTCGTTTGGCTGGGTTCTGCTTCGTCGACAGGGGCAGCTGCAGCGACATTATCATCAATAATGGATGAAGCACAGGATGGATCGCGGCGGATTGGCGAGATTGAGAGGCGCGGGTGGGGAGAAGAGGCGTCATCTGTAACTTGTTAGAAGTGACAGTGAAGAAGATCGGCACATAGTACATACCAGGAAGAGCCACGTAGTATTCATCATCATCATCAGCATCTTGAGGGACTTTTTGCTCAGGCGAAAACAATTTATCGCGATGGTCGAAGGATGGTATGCGAGCGCGGCGGCCAATCTCGACAGATGGAGAGCGTTCGATGGTGTGCTTCAGGCGTTTGGCAGCACGATCCTCCTCTGACTCCGACTCCGGCGCTGACAATTCGGTCTCATTGTTGCAAGGGCCCAGGTCAGGACCGTCTAATTTTTCTATCCGCAACTTGAAGGCACGCAAAGCCGCAGCAGCCTTATCCTTGGTGAGTATGTGCTCACCGTACGCGAACGCCGCATCGTGCAATTCGCCGCCGGGCTGCCAAAGACCAGGTAACGCAATCTGATGTTTAACTGCCAGCTTGGTAATTGTTGTAAGAGGCGCTGTTGTACTAATTGAGACCTTTTCCGTGATGCGTGGCATATAGGTCGGATTCGCCCAGTTCTGGCGACCATCCCAAGCCTTGTCGAGGTAGGTCAATTGCGCGTCGCGTCGCGTTGCGCGGTGAAGATGGGCTTGATGTTCTCGTACTTCGTTTTGTATGCCTTTGAGCTTCGGAGCCTCTTTCACGAGGCCATCGAGGACCTGGCGACGGTCGGGTGAGGGGAGTCGTTGAAGGTTGCGCGACGCGATGTCAGCCGCGGTGACGTTTTCTGAGGGGGAGGAGTCGACGACGCGTGCGATGTATCTTTTCACATGGGCTTTTTCGTCTTCGGCCTGCACACCGGACGCCATTTTGCAGGATTATCCATAGTGAACCCTGCTGCTGGCGCTGGCGCTGGCGCAGGCGTTGATGTGGATGATGATGATAAGCTCGAGCTCGAAGACCAGTTGCGATGTTTGTTTTTACCCATAGATGCAGCCCAGTGCCAATCTGGGTAAGCATGACGTACGGGTTAAGTGTTTTACTGACACCCTGACGTCACTTTTCCTGCGCCACAACTACCAGCTTCTGTGCGCCACTACAGCACAAGCCACTTGAGCCACAGGGCAACGATAAGGGAAACGTCGCGACATTCAGCCAAAACGAGCTAAAAGTTGGCGGTTCAAGCTGCACATCAAGAGCATGAATAAATAGGTATATAATTATATTGTATATTCTTCTGTGCTCCATGATCATAGAGTCGAACAGACAGGGAAAAAAGACAAGAATTAATGGCTTAATCTTCTGCTGTCACTTGCCCAGATATGATCTGTAAAACTCCCCCGCTGGCAATCTTCAGTGTAGTCGACAGGCCATGCCAGGGGGAGGAAAGAAAACACAGGACCTCAATCCTAAATGATATAAAGACTTAGGTAATATAGCCTAAGTCTAAGATAATTTTTGCCAAGTTTATTTTAGCACCCTACAGTAAGGTTTGCTATTTTCTTGCCCCCAAGGCATGCTCAGTGTCCACCCTAAACCTGCTGGGATGACTTCACGGGTAAGGCTCAAAAACAAGCACAATAACAGGCTTACTGACAAAAGAGCTTCAACATCGATTGTTAATCTAGTTGTAATATTCAGCTCAGTTGGGATTGACAAAACCACCGCATAAGACGGCGCAAACCCATATATATCAAGGCCAAAGTCACAAAACAGTAACGCAGTCAACAAAGCTTCCTCAGGGGGGCGGGCAAACACGACCGAGAGGGAATTTGAAACCGATTATAACAGTTTCAATAACTACATAGGTGATTTACAGAGTTTGTCTGTCGCAAAATGTTCTCCGGGTTCTGCCAGAAGTAGGACGTAATATGAGACTAGTTCTGTGCTACCCAACATGCGCTCCCTCCTCAACTCTCGATCCTCAACCTCAGTTGATACCTCAAAAGAGCTACAATCCAAAAGACCACCGGCGAAAATGTCAGTGATGAGAAAACTAATTGCCGCAAATTCATCAGTCAATGGGTCAACCGTTAGGGCAATTCCTTGCGACGAGACCTATCGACATTGCCAGAATCACCATAGTGGGAAGAGACAAGAGACATGCAATCGACTGTAGATATAAACTTTGCGACGAAAAACTAATGGTAGGTAATATAAAAAGTGTAGGGTAAAGCCAGCATTTCCCATACCACCGATAGTCAAGGGCGTTCTCGGTGTATCTCGTGGAGGTATGATTAGCTCCAGCATTTTTGACTCCAGATGAGGATATCACCGTCGCCCATTAGTGGACTACACACTTGGGTACAGTCTCCTTCATATAAAGCCTTGGAACTTTCATCACCAGTACCAGGTCCAGTCCCTGATTTGGATTAATGCGAAACCACCAAACGGTTGGCTACGATCAAGAGCACACTTATGCCCCTCGGCTTGGGACACTCGGCCAGCTTTGCGGTCGATCTCTTGAATCACGCATATCGGCAACCAGCAAGTCCTGCCAGTGTGACTACGGTTGCTCAGATCTGACGTAAACGCTATCGAGATGCCGGTATAGAACCAATGCTGTCTAAGCCCGCCATAATGCATGTTACCTTAGGATGTCGCTCCGCTCCCTTCCCCATTTCCAGAAGCAGATACTCGCCTGGGCAGTTACCAGCCCGCATGCTGTGCTATAGCCCAATCCTTCTGACCAGAGTAGACTGGTCGCTCTGCTGCGTGATGGGTAGTGTTTCGGTCCGTATCCCTAGGCCTTTGCATGTCCGCGAAGCTATCATCACATCGAGACGTCGATAGAGTAGGATATACGAGAGGCGAGAAGGAGAAGGGCTGTTGCACGTCCTTAAGAGTTGTGAGCTAGAAGTGTTATTTGCCGCTGAGACTTATGGCTGAGAGCTTGATCTAGCCGAGAGAGCCTAGCAAATCCCTAAGGGTAGTAAATCATACTTGATTATCACCAATCCGCCACAGAGTATCGCCCCTTTGAAAGGAAGTCTTTATAGGGCTGCTATCTTTCAACAAAGGAAGTGGGCATCTAGCCGGATCGGAGTTCAGATCGTCGGATTTCCCGAGATGGCGGATTGCAGACTAAGAACCGAAGAAGGCTATGAAGTTCGTCGCAATGTGGCCAAGGTACAAACTGTCGCTGTCTCCCAGGATCGAAGGTAAATTTGGTCGCTCGGTTGTGGTACGAAGATAATGGGTTCATCTACATCTTCGTTCTGGCGACACGAGTATTGACCGTGCTGTTCCTGGTGAGCCGTGATGAGAGAACTCAGGGTGAGCTCGTAATAGTTGGATGTGGGAAGCTGCTGAGCAAGTTCGATTGTGCTTTGCAGAAACGAGATAGTTGTCTTGGCCCAGACATGAGCGACCTCAACATCCACATAACACAATTGAAGCAAGCTCGGTTACTCAAACGCCAAAAGGCGTCTTAGCATGAAAGCTGGCATTGAGCATGTATTAATAGTGCATGTACCTTAATCTTCCGTTAGAGGTAAGAACCTGTATACCTGGCGAGTCGCTGTTGACATATTGTTTCTCACCGTAACATGGCGTTGTCGACAGCCCCGGACCTCACCACAAGCTGGCAATATTCTGGTTGTCCCAGAAGAGTATTTGTGGTCTTGTATTCATTCGTCGATGGCTCATCGCCTTGCCTCCCCTCACTGGCCAACCGCGAAGAGCTTCACGGAACAGACCGCGCCTCTGATCTTCGACTCCGGGCAATAGCTAGCTATGTCACAAGGATGATGCTTAGGGCACACAACTGAGCCATTTATCCTCATTATGGTCAAGAACAACACTGCAAGTCGCACGGTGCACTCCCCGAGACAGAAGCAAACAAGCAGACCTTCCATTGACACTATATACGACGACTCAAAGACGACAAAGGACATACAATCCAATGGCCCGCTCTGACAATTGCCCCTGATATTCAACTCAGCTCGGCCACAGATGACGGAGCGGCATCATGTGCATGCAGACCAACAAGGCATTCACATGACCCTCACGCTGGGAACTTGCGACAACACGGCAAGCGATCAACATTGCATCTCGAATTACGCTCCATTTTGAGTTCTATCATATTCATAAACAGGATGAGGAAGGATGCGAGCAGGATTTTGGGGTCCCAGTACCGAGGATCAGAAGGAGGTCGGTGCGGCGAGGAGATAACGGCGGCTCCATGTGATGGCGTACCAACGATTCAGCGGGACAGATACTGACCACAGGGACAAGACAGAGACACCGGAGAACATGGGCGTCAAGATTGGTCGAGGTATGTATCTTTGGCTCGCGGGTCGCTGAATGCCAGGCGCTCTTGAATCTGATGGGCGCGAAACTCCATCATCACCTCGACACGACACAAGTGTCACTTCGCAGGGCTCAACTGACTTTGATAACCCATATAGCTGACAAGATCCAACTCTCCACTGAGGTATCGATCAGGATAACAAGGTACAGAACACTATGCCCAGACCTTGCGGAGACCCGAATCGTGGAAATCCTGTCCCGCATCTGCGCCATAGACCACCAGGCGGCTGAAGGTGACGGCACTTACAACGACAGGAGAACATACTTTACCACAATAAATGAACAGGACAGTTCGTCTGCCCAGGCATCGACAGCAAAACACGATCATCCCGACTACCATGATGGAAGAAGTCATAGCTTATCAACGAGGTCACCGAAACAATATCTCGACCCGAAAGCAACATAATACATCTTCGATATTCCAGATCTTGGCTAAGCGCAAAGTAGTTAAAGCTATTTCGAGGATTTAAAGGGAGGTCACCAGATCGATAGCCACCTTCAAGCATATGAGAAGATATGACGAAGACCAGGACCACAAAGCCCTCAGCAATGACTTGGAGCAGTCCCTCGAACCAGCTTCCCAAGTCTTTCAACCATGGAACCGATCTCGTTGCATATGTCGGTGAACTACGATAGAGACTAAGTAGGAAGTCACAGTTCAAATAAACAATGTACAAGAACACATCAAAAACATCATAATAGCTTGGAATGTTCGGCATGGAACACTCCACTTATGCAGGCATTTGCATAGCGAAATGTGTCTGTTTTGTCATCAGCCTCTTGCATCGTTACATGCAAAAGACAAGGATTTGTTACAACTTCATGACAGCGCAGTGTCAGTAAAGGCTTATGGAACATGGCGTTGGCAGGGTCGCGTGTCAGGTTCCTCCTCTATGGTGATCCTACACGGTCTTCATGACTTTTGTCTCCTTGAGTTCAGCCTTTGGTTTGCTGATGTATGGGTTTCTTGGCCAACGCACAAAGCCTCAGAGTCACATCATGTCATATCCCCAGCCTTTCATCACCACAGGAATTACCAAACTCTCAGATATACCGTCATAATGGTACATATCCTCAAGGATCCAAACACATTCAGTTCTTCTATACCGGTGACAATATACAACATTTTGCAGACTCGTGGCATGCATCACGACACCAAACAAGAACGCGCCTCATTATCGAGCTTCGCCAGTTCAAATGCTCTTCCAATCTGACCCCGTCCTGGGCCGACTTTCTACAGACCACGCCCTGGCATCTTAGAGCAGGTAACATCTATCATCACCTCACATAAATAAACGCCCTCGAACTATACACCCATATCCATCATGTTCTAAGTTAGATCAATCCCATGCTCTCTTTTGGCTGGACTGTTACTCAGACATCCAGACAGAAGCTTTGCAGCCTGCCCTCGCCGATTCAGTCCTCAAGATGTGAAGACTCCAGTGCTTCCTCCTTTAAGTGCAGTATCGCCAGTTAGGCTTTCACCTCCAGATCCAGCCACCGCGAATCTCCTGGCTAATACTAAGTATCAAACACTCCAGGTTCTTCTTTGAGGAAT